GGGCCCCGCGCGGGCGGCGCCTATCTGCCCCGTCACATAAGCACGCCACTCTCGACGCTCGAGACAATGAAAGTCGCGCGCCCGCGGACAACTGAGGCACGGCCATTCGGGTGTAAACAGCGCTCACTGCCGAAGGCGAAAGCGTCGTCGGCGACGTGCCCAGCGCGCGCGAGAGAACCCGCATGCAATCGCATGCGCGAACGCGCGCCCCGCATCTACAGAGCGCCGCCGGCAAAACTTGCGACGCGGACGAAGATGGCGATGAGCGGGGCGGCGGGCGCGGAGGAGATCATTCGCCGCGCCAGACTGCCCAGCGCATCGCGCGCCTTGGAACGGCGAAGCCGCGACGGGGGCCCAAGCGCGCATGCTGGGCGCAAGCGGGTCCCGCAGAGCACGGCCCCTTCCGCGGCCCACCGCGCGGAAAAGGGGGCCCGAACGCAACGGGCACCTGTCCAAAAGAATGCTGGCCCCCAGTGAGGTTGAATATGGGGAATGAAACCATTGCCTATCTCACTCGCACCTCGTCGCGGTCGATCTTCCGCGTCGTCGCCTTATTGTCTGCGTCGGAGACGCCAGGATGCATGTTCTTGCTCAGGGCCTGCCCCCAACCATAGTGCGCGGACGCAAACGCGATGTTGCAACTCGTTTTGTCCGAGGTGCCCCGCCTGATCGTTCGCCCGATGTCCTTCGCCGCGCCTGCGGCTGCAGCCGGCCGCTTGATCTTCGCATTTGGGCGCTCGTCGTCAGGTGCGCCGTCGGGCTCAGCAGAGGCTTGCCTCTTTTCGCGCCGCAGCGGGCCCCTTCGAAAGGCAACTATGCGCCCCCTTCTCGACGCCCTTGAGGGCGGGCCCTCCCGTTGCGGCCCCTGCGCCCCGCTCTGCGGCGTTATCTGATGGGGCTGCCGATGCGCGGTCTGCCTTTGCTGCAGAGGGCCCCTGCCGATGCATGGCCTAACTCTGTGAGAATGCCTGTGCTGCAGGGCCTGGTGCAGCTGCTGCTGCGGGGCACGCTGTCCTGCCTTCGATCGCGAGCCTCGCCGTGAACGTGGATTAGCGGCCGTCAGCCCATGGCTCGGACTTGTCCTTTGTGCTCAAGCTACAACGACCCTGCCTATCCCACTCACAACGCACCACCTCGCGAAGGGCCCCATGAGTCGCCCTGGCCCGGTCCAGAAATACTCCCCGAAATACTGGTCCAGTATAACATAGCTGGTCCAGGAGGTCGTAACTTGCAGAGGGTGCTTCGAAGTCGCTTGCGCAGCACGGACCAGTCAATCTGCTGCGCTAGCGGAAGAAGAGGCTCGGGCCAGCAGGTAGCATCTTCACGCGTTGCGCCTGAGTGGCCCCCCGCCCCTGCCCCCGCTCCACCGACCCCGCCCGCGGACGACGCAGTGCCAGCGCCACGACCCAGACCTCATCCTGAGCCTGGAAACTCCCGCGCAGGAGACAATGCCGTGCCTTTCCGGTGCGGAGGCACCCCGCCGCATACTCCCTGGCACGACTGCCGCACCTGTTAGAGCTTCCGCTCCGTGCCAACGATGAGTCGCACACCCACTTTGATCAATCCATCCTCGCTCACACTTCTGAAAGGGAACTGGGGCACACAAATAAATACACACAAATAAAAATATCCCCAATACTTTCCCATATGTTCTGGGTTTTTCTCTTCCCCCCCACTGCCCATATTTTCGAATATTTTCTTGGAATCGCAGATTAATTGTGTCTGTGTGTTTTTTCCCCTCCTGAACTCCGCGCCCCCCAAAAAGGCCGAACGCTTGCACGCCGTGATGTCCCGCTCGCCCCTGGCCGTCTTCGGGCTGCCCAAAGCGGCCCACTCCCTCCTCGTGCGGTGCTTGTTGGGAAGCGGCCAGAATTGGTCGTGCCCCAAACGTGCGCACACAGTCGGGGCGTTGACCTAAGGAACCCTAAATAAGGAACGGAGCCCCTTTTTTTTCCATAAGCTATACTTCTATTTCATATCGGAAACATAAGGAACACCTGGGGCAAGCTGCGAAACACTTAAGGAACGCGGAGCCCCTCCCCAACGAAAATGGTTCCTTCTTCAGGGCCCCAGGGCCCCAACTGTATGAGGCCCACGAGAAGCCTCGCACGAGATACCACAAAAACTCCCATTGGTTCCACCACCGCAGCCCAAGCACGGTGGCAGGATGGGCCGAAACCCATTCGGCATCGTCATGTGTACCATGCGCCCCAACAGTGCCAACGCAAACATGAGCGACGGCGGACGTAAACACATTCGCGTTTCTGCTAAGCGGCGGCCGTGAACAACGCATGAACCCTATCCTGGGCAGCGCTGCGCACGAGGACTTGTCTGTTTCGATGGTTGCCCATCGCGCGGACCATGTGTTGGCGCAGGAACTGATGCTCGAACTGGCGGATCCCAAAAGGAATCGCTGTACTTCAACGAAGCCGTTCATGAGAACTTGGCCGGGATCGCGAGGTGGGCTGCTGACCCGCATGGGCCCAACAATCCAACCAGCCCTCTGGGCGCATGTCTTACCAATCTTACGTTTCCTCTTCCAAAAGATTCTTGTTCCTCCTCGGAGAGGGCTTACCCCTCCCCCCATCTTCTCCCCGGGACCTGGACGGGAGGGGGCGCGAGTCATCAGAGGGCCCTTTTTCGCTCAAGACGGCTCAAAAGAGGGCCCCTGATGCTCCAAGATGGCCTCCAAGATGGCCTCCAAGACGGCTCAAGATAGCGCAAGGTCGCTCAATATGAGTTCCACAATGCCTCCAAGAGGCATCGAGAGGGCCACGAGACAATTCCACGTGCCCTCGGAGCTCTCTTGGGGCTCCCCGTAAGCCAACAGCTTTCAAACAACTAAGACAACTCAATCGTAAATGTCTTCTCGCCTTTCCAATTCCGATGTGCGTCAGCAGCCTCAAGATAGCCCGAAGATGGCCCAAAAGAGTCCCAGGAGAGGCCCAGGAGGCCCCCAAGACGGCCCCAAGAGCGCCCAACATCGCCCAAAAAAGGCACTCGAGAGACGAGGTGTAGGGCCCGGGTGAAAGGGGGACGCACATTTAGGGCCCCCCTCCTTTGATCGATGGCCTCCGACATGGCACCAGGGAGCGCTCCACAGCACCCCAGAGGACCCCGAGAGAGCCCCAGGAGGGCCCCCAGGCGCCACAAAATAAACCCACTAAAGAAGACCCCGTAACGAGCCCCCAGAGGGCCCCAAAAAGCCCCCCAAAAGCCTCAGGAGAACCCCGGGACCCCAAAGCAACCCCAAGAGGGTTCCAAGATAACCACTAATGGAATACCCCCCTTTTTTGATCGTTGTCTTCCAAGATGGCCCCAAGAGGTCCCCAAGATACCCCAAGAGGTCCCGAGAAACCCCCAAGAGGACCCCAAGAGGCCCCCAAGAGGACCCCAAGCGGCCCCCAAGTGGCCCCCCCGAGGCACCCACGACGCCCAAGAGCCCCCTGGACCGCCAAAGGACCCACAAGACGCCCCGAGAGGCCTGAAAAAGGAACCCAAGAGATATCCCAACAGACTCCGAAGAGGCCCCTGGACGTTGGCTCGGCCTGCCCCTTCTTCCGAATCCTCCTCCTCTCTCCTCCTCATCCTATTCATCATCCTTCTCCATCCTCCCACATCCATTCATCCATTCATCCATCCTCCTTCTCCTCTTCCTCCTTCGAACGGTTCGGCTGTCCCCCTCTTTGCTCTTACAATATCCTAATCCACTCAACTCGCCTGGGCGTCGTTTCTGGATGGGCTGGTGGACATTTGTTGTTGTCGCAGCCGCAGGCGAAGGCGCCGGCTGCGTCACAAGTCAGTTCGGGCGGCTGGTGGAGATAGTTTTGTTGGTCGCGGCCGCGGGCGAAAGCGCACACGGCGAGTCGTAAGTCCGGGGCGCGGGCCTACGAATTGACAAAAGCAAACTAGCCGACGACCTAAACTGCCTAAGCGGCCTAAGCGGCGCCTCGCGTGAGCTGCGAACTGTACTGAGTGTGGATGTTGAGGCCAGGAGCAGAAAGCGCCCACACAGCGTCCAGCTGGTGGGGATACGCGAAGCGTCAAGAAATAGCGAATCACGTTCTTCGAGATGCACTCCACGAAACCAAATCACATTATGTTCAATGGAGATCTGTGCCACAGGTCCAACGGGCTCTCACGTAAACGTGTTACAAGTCTATCCACTCGTATAAGGCTTCACGAAGTAAACTGTGCACTGCTGCGGCTGCTGGCAATCAACGTTTTATGAATACTTCAAATTGCACACCACAAATTGAAACTATGACGTACTTATGGTACAACGTAGTGCAACACGTAGTTGATGGTGTAAAATATACACGTGTATAAAAATGTATGTATATGTGTATATATATACAGATGGTTGTACGAATTATCTTAAAATCTTTGCGCGTGCGTATGTTACACATGATTGTGTAACTTACACCATGCAGATTTTCGTTCAAGCAGAGGCCGAACACCGACGCGAGGGGGTCTGTGCTCCGGGCCTGTGGCAGCCGCTCGGGACGACCTGGGCACGCCTGGAACGCCCTCGGCGAGGCGCAGCGGGAGAGCATGCCCTGGGCGGGAAGACCCCCCAGAGGGCCAGCGAAAAAAAAACATCGCGGGAACTTCTCGGACCGGGCAAAAGTTACCAGCCTCGAACGTATCCCTATCCCTAAGATTGACACGCCAAAAGGCGATGACAATCTTAGGGACTCGCCCTCAAAAAACAAGGGGATCCCTAAGATTGGCATCGTGATGAGGAGGTGCCCAACATAGGGATAGGGATATGTTCCAGGCTGGTGAGAAAGGGGGAGATGGCAAAGGGGGGGTTGAGAATCAGCTCACGTAGCTGATTTTCCCGACGCCTCCAGGCGCCAGAGGCGGCCATGTATCGAGGAATGGGCCCCTCGGTGGGGCCGAAACCAGCTGCATCCGGCAGAGTTCGTAACCCCCCCTTTCCCAATCCCCCCCTTGCGTCCGGCCCGAACTTCGACCGCGGCTGCTGCTGCCCGGGCCTCGGGGATGGAGATCTCCGCGAGGCCGAACCCCCGGCGCTTGGTGGCCGGGGTGGCCCTGAGCCGGCCGAGGAGCGTGACGGGCGGGGCGGTGGGCGCTTCCATGGCCGCGGCGCGCAGCTGGCCCACGGGCCCGCCTGCGGTGCGAAGGCTGCCTCGAAACAAGGGGCCAAAGCGGCTGCGGCCACGTGCGCGCAGGAGTGCACGCACGTGCGCTCACATGGCCGACCCCCAGCAAACACACGCACACACACGCACACGCACACACACGCACACACACACACACACACACACACTGTAACACACACACTCACACACACACACACACGCACACACACACACACACACACACGCGTTTGGTGTCGCGCCCAACCAACAAGGGCGTGGCGGCGCGGCGCAGAAAGTCGTGCGGAGAGACGCGCGCGGCCGGCCGGCCCAGGTCACGCGGCGTGGGGACCCGGGACACACACACACACACACACACACACACACGTACGCATGCACATGCTTACACCAATAAACTCGTATACAGCATGCACAGACACACCCGCATGATTATGCACACTGGAATGGTACATGATCTGCACGTGCGCAGGCCTACTCGCACACGCGCCGTCGCGAACGTGTACCTTCATATGCACGCACGCGAGCAAACACGCATGCACTTGCACGCGCATGCACGCACACGCATATGAAAAGGTGAAGGTGCATGCACATGCTCATGCACACGAGAAAAACCTGTACATGTCCACGTGCGCATGCACTGACGAACTATCGCGACCGACATGGCCAAAGAAGACAACGGGCCGCCAAAAAGCTCCTGAAAGTAATCAGAACCTGAACAAAACGACTCATGAGTCTCAAGGTTAGGAGGAGGGGGAGGAGGAGGAGGAGGAGAGGAGGAGGAGGAGGAGAGGAGGAGAGGAGAGGAGGAGAGGAGGAGAGGAGGAGGAGGGGGAGGAGGAGGAGGGGGAGGGGGAGGAGTGGCCTGCCAAACTGCGAGGTTTCCTTCTCACGACAGAGCCGCCTGGATCGGCGCCGGGCCCCCCTCGCCGGTGCGCGGAACGTGCCAGGGGGGGGGGGGGCGCGCGAGGCGCGGCCACGCGTGCCCCGCTGCCGATCCGACACATGCGCGCGGACCTCCGACGGTGTAGGTTTAAGTCGGGGATGCTCGACGAAAATTGAAACATACCTCCAGCATAATCAAGAAATAGTCCAAGAATAGTCCGAGGACTATTTCTCGAGTATTCGTTGACTTTTTTGGTGCATTTTGGGGGTATATTTTATTTTTGGTCGAAAATCCCCCTGTAGGGGGACGCTGATGTGGAGGAGGATCACCGTCGTCGCCGCCGCGGTCGAATCATCATCAACATCATCATCATCATCATCATCATCGTCATGGCCATCATGATGATCAGGATCTCCATCACCAACAACATGACCGTCGTCACCATCGACATCATTACCATTATCAGTATCATCCTCACCATCGGCATCCTCATCTATCATCATCAGCATCATCAGCATCATCATCCTCATCCTAAGCATGATCAACATCATCACCGTCATCATCATCATCATCATCATCATCATCGTCATCATCATCATCATCATTATCATCATCATGTTCATCATCCTCATCCTCATCCTCATCATCATCCTCATCCTCATCCTCATCATCATCATCCTCATCATCATCATCATCATCATCATCGTCGTTATCCTCGTCCTTTTCCTCCTCCTCCCCCTCATCATCATCTTCATCATCATCCTCATCATCAGCATCAGTCTCAACATCATTCTCTTCATCAGCTCCAGCATCACCATCACCAGCACATCCAGATTCGTCCTCATCCTCTCCGTTCCCATGCGCTGGGGGGGGGGCGCTGATCTCCCCGCGCCTGCGCCGCCACCGCCTCCCGCGGCGCCGGCGGGGCCCAGTCCATCAGGCACTCCACGGCCTCGCGATGCGCGCGGCGGGGGCTCGGCCATCCGCGGGCACGAGCGGCGGGGAGGGATGCGGGGGGGGGTGCAGGCCCTGCTTCGTCCTCCCCTCCTCATCCTCCCTCGTCCCTCCTCCGTCCTCCTCCGTGCGCTTCCCTCCTTCCTCACGCCTCCCTCCTCCTCCCTCCCCCCCCCCTTGCTTCACCTGCGCCTCGCGTTTCCCCTCCCTCTGCCGTGCCAGTCCTGGACCTCCTGCCCTCTCCTCCTGCCCCCCTCCCCCGTTCCCCCTCCTCCTCCATCCCTGTCGCACCCCCAGACGCGTCGGTAGAGCGGACCGGGCATTTCGCCCGAGCATTCCTTACCATTTGTGATCATGAGCTCTGACACCGTTCCACGGAGGGAGGGAAGTGGTTCTCAAAATGTGGCTCTCGCCTTAGCGCAGCGCACACTCGTGTTTTCGATGCAGCAACCATGTCGCGGGAGGAGGGCGAGCGATGTTCAACATGTGGCTCTCGCCCAAGCGCCGCGCACATGTGTCTTGCAATATATTCACGGATGGTGGGTGGTTCTTTTTCAACATGTGGTTCTTCCCTTGACGCCGCGCACATTTATCTTAAAACTTTGCGACACGTTCAGGGATATGTACGATTGAAGTCCCAGGCACGGTGTTATGGCACGATGAAAGGTTGTCAAGACGCAACAATGATTTTCATTCGCTGCATTGAAATTCAAGGAACGGCGTTCTTGCACGATGGAATATTGAAAAACGGCTGTCTTCCGCTGGGGCACCTCCCGCCATGAAAATAAGCTGTTGCAGACAGCTGTGAAAAGGGAACTTGGAGGGAGGGCTTCTTGCAACATCGTTGATGCGCCTTGGGATTACACTGGTCACCGCTCCTCCTCCTCCTCCTCCTCCTCCTCCTCCTCCTCCTCCATCGCGAGGGCCGCCCCTGGAACTCATCGCCCCGCCCTCGCCGAACCTCGCGGGCCGGCCGGGCTTCCAAGGGATCCTCACTCGGGCGCACGACCACGGACTGCGGACCTGTGGATCTGGCACGTGGGAACCAGATCCACGCATCGGGGAGGGTACAGTCATCCTGCCACCATGAGGTGGCCACCCAAGCCAAACGAGCGAAGCAACATTGGCGCGTACTGGCCATCGCTCGGACGTCCATTTCCTGTGCTGTTTTCGGTTTCGTGCGTGATTTTTTCGCCAAATGATCAAGGATGCTCCTCGATGGTCCTCGCCAAAGGAAAAATGCACACGTCCGAGCGATGCCGAGCGTAAGCTGCTCGCGTAAGGTCGCGCGTGAGCGCCCTCGTGTCCACAGTAGCGTGCCGCGCCGGCGGCCCGCGTGAAGCCACCGCGCAGGGTCGCTACGCCGTCTCGAGCAAACGACCCGTTTTGCGGCGTCGCTCGAGTGCCGTGCGGCCCGACTCGGCGGCGGAGCACGCCGATGCTGCGCCGCAACGGATGGGCCCATGTTCCACCACCACTACCACAGGTAGGAGAGGGAGGGGCAGGAGGAGGACGAGGAGGACGAGGAGGAGGACCTCCTCGTCCTCCCTACGCCCCCGTCCTAGACATGGTAGTGGTGGCGGAAAATTGTCCCATCCGTCGTTCCACCGCGCGCCTCCGTCCACGTGGGCGCTGCGTCGAGGAGCCGAGGATAGAAGAAGAGTCGAGGATAGAGAAGAGCAAAAACAGCCGTGTGAAGCAACGATGAGCGCGCGAGCAGGTCGGAGGGCAGAAGAACCACCCTCGAGATAAACATCCTAAAAACGAAGCCCCTCAATAATTGCAGCCATTATGTGCCGTTGCTGGGACATATCAGTGCGCGCCGAGCCAAACAACTTGCACCACCCCGTGCAAAATCTCGCACAAACCCCCTTGCACAACCCCCAAAGACAACTTGTGCAAGCTTTTACTTTCCAGAGCACATAGCAAGGAAGGAGTATCGAACAGGGCAAGACTGTTCAGTGAACACCCAGGACTGTTCAGTAAACGCCAAAAGAAAATGTAGGGCAGGCCTGTTTCCCCATGATAGAGTTTAGACCTTGGAGAGACAGATGAGTCGGGGAACGTGAGGGTCTGACGCACCGCTCAGCGTCAAGGGTTCTGTATCTACTTGCTCCCCCGAACCCCCAAGATTGGGGGGAAGTGAGGTGGGGTAGGGAAAATGGTGGGCTTGGATGAAAATCGCTCTGGACGGCCCCTGGAAGATGGAACGGTCAGCCTCAAGCTTGGTCCGCTCCCTGACTCAACCTTGGGCTAAACCCCCCTCCACGTACCCTGGACCAGAGGGCCAGCTTATTGTTCGCGCGACAGAAACAGCGAAAGCTCTACTCTCCGCAGAATTCGAGGGCAGTCTCTACCAAGGCTACAAAAGGGATGCACAAGGCGACGCCCGGCGTCTACAGAGCGAGGCGGTGAGCGCATGACTCCAGAGGCGTCTCCACGAGGGAGTGGTCGTCCTCTCCCAGGAGTCCTCCGACAGAGAATCCTGCGCGCGAGAGGTGCTTGACGTAGAAGTTTAAGTACTTGGTACCTTTACCCGTGCGGCCCTGGGCGACCTTCAGCTGCACCCTCCCAAAGCGCGCCCAGTGGGACCGCTCGCCAACGGCGTCCTGAGCCTTGTAATGAAAACCACCGCTCTGCTTCGCATTCGCCCACGCCCCTGTGATGTTCAGTTCTTGGAAGTACAAGTCAGTGCACTGTCCACCTAGCCTCTGAGCATTCGCGTCTACGCGAAGCAGAGCGTTCTCGGCGGCCTTCCGCGGAATGTTGATAAGGAGGTGGTTACCGGGCTGCATCAAGTCGAACTTCTCACCATGAACATTCTGTAAATGAGGATCACCAACAGCGGAGGCCCCCCCAGCTGCCCCAGACGCGGGCGCCAGCGCTGACGTGGGAGCTGACGTGGGGGATGGCGTGGGGGCTGACGTGGGGGCTGACGTGGGGTCTTTCAAGTAGCCGGTCCAGTCTCCTTTGTACGAAAGCTTGACGCTGCTGCCACCGAAGTACTGCGCGCAGCCCCCGCCCCACGCGGCGTGCACGTTGAAGCCGCGGCACACAGGGTCCGAACTGCAATATGTCGCGGCTTGTGCTGCGGTCGCCGGGCACCCAGGGCCGGCGTCGAACAAGGCGGTGGCCACACCTGAGTCACCTATAAACCAGTACCCATTGTTCGGGCCTGAGTATCCTGGGGGGGACAACAAGGCACCGATGCCGCTACTCCCCGGACCTCTCCAAGGGTGCGTTCTGACCAGAATTTCACAGCGGACCCAACTGTGGCGACGATGGCCTCTCAGGAGGCCCAAAAAGGCGAAACCGAGGCCAGGGTACGGCAGGTTCGTGCGGCGTCGGCGCGCGCAAAGGTTTTTGACACCGCGTCGATCGTTCAACCTTGAATCGATCGCGGCCCCGATCGTTCAAGGTTGGATTCCGTCGGGCCCAATTGCGTTATCGTGTCCCTCGGCGCTTCCACGTCGCAGAATTCAACCTGGAACGCCTTCGCAGGCGTCGCCGGCGCGCCAACGCCGCGCGAACCTACCGTAGCGGTAGTGGTACCTTTTTCCTTCTCTGATCTCCAGGTACCGCCGCCCACGCCGCCGACGCATTCGCAATGGAGCCTGCCCTGATGGAACTCGCGGCGTGTAGTGCGCTGGCATGAGTCAGCAAGACAAGACTCGGGGCCTTCAAGGCTGTCATCCTATCAAAAACAAGCAAATATCCACCTGCCTTAAGTTGTCACGATGGGGTGTTAGAATGATCGGTGGTCTGGTGGGGGTCTGTAGTCCTCCGAAACTCATGCCCCCCTCATCGCAACCAGCTTCAGAAAACCGTAACATCTAAGATTGCTCACCGTAGCCCAGTTCGACCCCTAGACGACTCCAAGACAGCCAACGACCGCCCCAAAACGGCTGCAACACGCCACGAGACCATCCAACAAGCCTCCAAAGGCTCCAAGATATCGCCAGGCCCAAAAGCGCTCCAACAAGCTTCCAAGAGACTCCCAAAGAGGCCTCCAGGGAGGCCCTAAGAGAAATACATCGAACAACCAAAACAAAATCACCGTCTGTTGTGTCTGAAACAGTTCGGCTTCAGATCGCCTCGGGGACGCTTCAGAGAGCCCCAGGGAGCCACTAAGACAGCTCCAAACGGCCCCGAGAGCGCCCCAAGACAACCCCATCCGCTTGTTCGGAAAACCTCTGTAGAACAATCGCGTCACAAACTTCTCCGAGACCCCAGAACGAAGGGTCCTCAAACGGAACCCTAGCGGTCCCCACGAGATGCCCAGAAAGTCCGCAACAAGCCAACAAAAGCCTGCAAGATGCGATCAAGAGGGAAGAGTAGCGAGGAGAAGGAGGAGGAGGAGGCGGAAAAGGAGAAAGGAGAAGGAAGGAGAACGAGGCTGCGGACAGGAAGGAGGTGCTCAAGACCCGCGCCAGTTCAAACAGCGCGCTGAACTGGAGCAGGCCTGAAAGTCAGCCTCCTTCGTGAAGTGCCGCTGTGCTGCTGCGCCGGCACTGTGGCGGAATTTGCCGCAGGCAGCTGATCGCTCGCTCAACTACGTAGGCAAGGAATATTGAATCAAGATGGCTGCGGGTACCCCGAAAAGGCCCCATCTCGGGAATGTTGAGGGAAATGGGCGAGCCACAACCATAGGGAACCCACAACGACGTATGCACGCAACCACGTGCATGAACACGACCCCCCACTCCGCGAGACCGCCCGCGTGATGCGAACGTCCGCGCAGTGCGCACTCTCGAAGCCAACGTGGATTCATGTGCGTGTGCGTGCTTCTTTCGCTCCTGCATAAGGGAACGAAGAACGACTGAAACATCACAACTCGGACCTCCGAGTTTTTATGCTTACGGCTGCGTGGCGGCTGCGGGGCAGGGGGGGGCGGCTGCGTGGCTCGCCGTGAGCGCCCTCCCCAGAGGGCGCCGCTCGCCCCCCAGGGTGTCCGACGCCGTTCCGTCTTCGCTGCACCGCCCTGTGCCCCAAGAGGTCCCTGCCTGCTCGGCGCCCAAGGCCCGGGTGGCCGGGGCCTGCAGGCCACAGCACCGTGCCCACGGCGCCGTCGGGGGCGCCACGGGCGCTCGCCCGCCCGCGGCGCGAGCACGGGGTCGCCGGGCCCCCCCCCCTCGGAGTCGCGCGCTCGGGGTCGCCGGGGGCGGCGGCCGTGCTGCTACGCTGGGCCGTGCTGCGCTGCAGCCATCGTGCCTTGCCGGGAGGACGGATGATGAAGGAACGCAGGGAATGGTGCGGCAACGGCGAGCCTCGGCATCTGAGGAGCAGGCAAAACGCCAGCGCACCTCCTGCATCCAAGATGGCGTTTCATGCAGCGTCTTGACTGTGTGCCGTGCGCTGAGTTGCGATGCTCCGCTGTACAACTCTAGGACACAATAACGCTATGCGGAACTGAACTAACCACTGCTGTGCCATGATACGCAGTATTGCGCCACGCTATCACAAACGATAATACAATGAATTGTGATGCCGTGTGCTACGATGTGGTACGCTATGCCATGGTATGTGGTATGATATACTAGGCGATGCAATCAACGCTACGTCATCAGGTTACGTTACGCCTCGCAATGGTACTGGATGCGTTTTGGTGCCATGCTATACCACACTACGCTATGCTAGGATATCCAAGGAGGCGCGATGATGCGGTTCTATGGACTACCTTTGACTGCAGTGCCTTCACGTTGATCGCAAACAAGACTGGAGGGAGGGACGCGGGCAGGCGCCGGACGCAGGCTGAGAACGAGCGCCCGATGCTCCGAAAGCGCGCCTGCTGCAATAACAGAGACGGGGGTCGAGATAGGCACACGGGCTTGCGAGGACCCCACCAGGGAAGGCCCAGGGCGCACCTGGCGGCCCGCAGCAGTGTGCCCACGACTGGGCGAGCCCGACCGTCAAGCAGAAGCTGGCAGGCTGGCTCACGGGGCTCACAGAAATACGCCACCACCACCACCACCTCCCCGCAGAGCACCCCACCTCCATCCCTGGAGAGCAGGGAGGAAGAGGAGGCTGACAGCGGGGAGGGGGGATGAAGGTGGTGGTGGTGGTGGTGGTGTCTATCCTTGGGGCCCGCATGGTTGGCGGGGAGGAGGAGGAGGAGGAGGAGGAGGAGGAGGAGGAGGAGGAGGAGGAGGAGGAGGAAGAGCAGTAGGAGCAGGAGCAGCAGGAGGAGGAGGAAGAGGAGGAGGGCAGGGAGGGCCAGCGCGGCCAGGCCCAGGCCCTCACTGTTGCAGGGGTGGAGGTCGACGGCCGCGGGCGCCGAGAGCGGTGCGCGCTGCGCGGGAATGCTCTGCTAGATCGCGCTCCACTCCGCGCTGCCGTTTGCGCCCGTGTGGGACCCCGCTCAGCGCTTCGCTCCGGGAGCGCACGAAAGACCATCGGTCAGGGAGGGGGCCCTCGCACATCAGAATGAGTGCCCCTTATGGTGGCCCACACATTGTTTTGCTTTTTCCAGTTTCGGTTCGGGCCAAGACGCCCCGAACACATCTAGGAGGGGGGAGCTTCGCAGCGACTCGGGCACGGCGCGGCAGCCCGCGGCGGGGGCGACAGCCGCGCGGGGGAGGCGTTACGAGGTCAATCCAAGCCTGGGCCAGTCAGGCGGGCTTTGCAGGATCCTTCAGGGTCCTGCGCACGCCATTAATTACGGCGCTCTGGCTGACCCCCCTTCGCATTGACCTCCGTCTCCTGAGCCCCGAGACCGGTATTGCGGACACCGTCCGGGCGTGGCCAAGGTCAGCCGGGTGAGGCCGCTGCCTCTGCCTGGGAACTGGAGCCGAGGGCTTACGTGTCGTGCGCCGTGTTCTCCCCCTGCCGCGGGACCTCCTCTCCCTCTCCCTCTCCTGACGTTTTGCATGCCTTGCGCTGAGTGGTGCCCAAACGCCCTCTAAAACAGGGCCAGGATCGGGATACATCGCTCCAGAGCGTTCCGGAGCGCTCCCAGAGCGCTCCAGAACGCTCTGGAGCGGCCGCGGCGCCCAATACATCCTCCAAACCCGCCGATTCTCAGAGATTTCGAGTTATCCCGATCCGATTTCGTCCCGATCTTCGCGTCGTTCTGCCCTCCCCAGCGCGCGGAGCGAGCCAGGGGCGGCGCCAGGGGGCCGGGCGCCGGCCCGAGGGCTCCGCGCGCAGAGGCCCAGGGGTGCATGCTGGCGCGGGTGCCTCTTCGACGAGTGCCGTGTGGGCGATCCACATCTCGTAAAACGACGCGAAGATCGGGACAAAATCGGCTCGGGATAACTCGAAATCTCTGAGAGTCGGCGGGTTTGGAGGATGTACTGGGCGCCGCGGCCGCTCCAGAGCGTTCCGGAACGCTCTGAGAGCGCTCCGGAACGCTCTGGAGCGATTTATCCCGATCCTAGCCCTGTTTGATCTCGTCCGTGCCCCCCGCTCGCGCCACGACCCCACGAGGGGTCAGAGCGGAGATGACGTGGATAAGCTTCTGGCCTCTCCGAGGCCACGTATTCTCCCGCACGGGTTGCCTGGAGCTCCGGCCACTTTCTTTGCCGCGTCGCGGCCCCCCCTCCAAGCCCCCCTCCCGAGTGCAGGCCGACGTCCCTTTCCCCACTCCTCCCTGTCCCCGTTGTCCACCAGCAGACCAGTGCACCCTCCGCCCCGACCACTTTATTTTTCGCGTATCAGCCCACCCCCCCACCTCGCACGCCACCCCCTCCGCCCCCCACACGCCCTTCCGCCACCGCCCGCTGTCCTCCCGCAGCCCAGTGCCCCCTTCGCCCCGACTGCGACATTTTTCGCGTCGCAGCCCACCCACTCCCCCCCGCAGGCCCCCCGCCACCGCCCGCAGCCCCGTGCCTCCACCGCGACCGCATTATTTTTCGCGTCGCAGCCAGATGCCCCCCCTCCTCCGCGCGGACACTGCAACCGCCATCGTCCCCGACCCCTCCTCCCCGCCCTCCTCCCCTCGGCATGCCGCCGCCCCATGCCCCCTGTCCCCACCGCGGTCCCCGCCCCCGCCCCCCTGTCCCCACTGTCCTCCAGCAGCACGGTACCCCCATGCTCCCGCCCCGACCGCGATATTCTTCGCGTCGCCGACAAAATCGGCGGGAAACTTTAGCCACATCTTTCAACCTCCACCAGGACCCCTTCAGTGCAGGCACCGACTGGGGAACTGCTGCGCGCCGCGTGAGGCCTCCAGAATCTTCCCCATCATGATCCGCCGACCCCGTCGGCGCGCGCGAGGGGGAAGCGGGAATGCTGGGTCCGCCGTCCCCGGGTGGCCCAGGAGGCCTTTAAGACGCCCAAGATAGCCTCCAAGACGGCCCTGGAGCATTCCAAGAGAGCCCCAAGTCGGCCCACAAAAACCCCCCGAACGGCTTCCGACGGCGTCCGAAGGGCCAGGAGCCTACCAAGACAGCCGAAGATGGCCTTAAGATGGCCCAAGAGGCCTCCAAGAGGGCCTCCAGGAAGGCCCGAAAAGACCCAAATCACTGATTTCCCATGAGTTTTTGAAGGATTGTGGCATTTGCTTTCTGTCGGCCTTCCGACGGCCCGAGACGGCCCAAGTGCCCCCAAAGATCGCCCAAGAGGCCCCCAAGAGGCCCCAAGACGGCCCAAGAGGCCTCCAAAACGCTCAAGATGGCCTCCAAGACGGCCCAAGAGCCCTCCAAGACGTCCTCCAAGAAGGCCCGAAGGGGTCAAAATGGACTCCAGACGGCCAAGATGACCTTCAAGATGCCTACGTGTTCCCAGAAGGCTTTCCAAACCGATTCGGGGAACACATGATCCGGTAGCTTGGCAGCTCTGGCCTCAACGTTCGGCCACATAGGCGCTTCCAAAAAGGCAGGGGGCGGCGGTGATTCGCGGAGTAGGCGCCTTCGATCCGCCGCCCCCTGTCGATTCATCGCAAAGGGGCCTGGCGTGCCGAATTATTACGGTGTTGGTTCTGGTTCTTTTTCCAAAAGAACTCCCCCTGGGGCGTCGGCCCGTCCCGCCGGCCACCCGGAAGGCTCGCAATTCTCCCAATTCTTCGCTCAAGATGGCCCAAGATGGTCTCCAAGATGGCCACGTTGGCCCAAGATGGCCTCCAAGTCCGCCCAAGATGGTCCTTGACGGCCTCCAAGACGGCCCAAGAGAGTCCAAGATACCTCCAAGGTGGCCCGAGAAGCCTCCAAGACGGCCCAACACGACCCAAGAAGCCTCCAAGGGGCCCTCCAAAGGGTCCGAAGAGGCCAAAATCATTGTTCGTTCTTGGGTTTTTGAAGGATTTGGGCATGTGCTTCTTCTCGGCATTCCGACGGCTCAAGACGGCCCAAGAGGCCCCCAAGATCGCCCAAGAGGCCTCCAAGAGGACCCTATGTCGGCTCAAGAGGCCTCCAAGACGGCCCCAAGAGGGCCCCAAGACGGCCCAAGAGACCTCCAAGACGCCCAAGATGGCCTCCAAGACGGCCCCGAAACGCCCCAAGAGGACCCCAAGTCGGTTCAGAGAGGCCCCCAAGACGGCTCCCGACGGCGTCAGACGGGTCAGGAACGCCATAAGATGGCCAAAGAGGCCACCGAGAAGCCCCAAAAGGGCCCCAAGAGGCCCACAAGAGGCCTCAAGAGAGCCCACGATAGCCCCAACATGGCCTCAAAGACGATCCCAAGATGCCCCAATCGAGCCCAAGAGTGCCTCAAGAGGCTCCGAAGAAACATCCTCCGTCTTCTCCTGTTTCCTCCTTCTACTCCTCGTCCTCTTCCTCCCCCACGTGTTCGCCGAAGGCTTTCCAAATTGGCTCAGGGAACACATGGTCCGATAGCTTCGCCCCCCAAGACGCCTCCAAGACGGCCCAAGATGCCTCCAAGACGGCCTAACATGGCGTCAATATTGCCCAAGACGGCCCAAAAGGCCCCCAAGAGGCCGCCAAGACGGCCCAAGAGGCCTCCAAGAGGTCATTCAGAAGGGCCCAAAGAGACCAACATCATGCATTTGCCCTAAGTGTTTCAAGGATGTTGGCATGTGTTTCTTCTCGCCATTCCGACGGTACAAGACGGCCCAAGAGGCCTCTTTCTCTTCCTCTTCATGTTCATTCTCCCCCACGTGTTCCCTGAAAGCTTTCCAAACCGATTCGGGGAACACATGGTCCGATACCTTGGCAGGCCTATGGCGACAAGTTTCGGTCACATGGCGCTTCCGAAAGGGCAGGGGGCGGCGGTGATTCGCGGTAGGCGTCTTCGATAATCCAAGAGTGGCCTGAAATCGCCCAAGCGCCCCAAAAGAGCCCCCAGAGGGCCCCCACAGAATTCAAAGCAAGCCCTCAACTGTATCATACCAAGAACCTTTGGTACGACACTGTTGCAGACTGTTTCGGGAGCCTTCATGGAGCCCTCTTAATCCTTCTAGAGCCTCTTAGTGCCCTTTGGGGCCCCTCTTCAAGTCTCTTCGGGTTCTCAGAGGCCCTGGAGGGAGCTCCGTGAAGCCTCCAAGAGAGCCCAGAGAGAACTCCAAGAGGTTGAACCAAAGAAAACTGAGATGGAATAGTTCAATATCGCAGTGGTGTGCAATACGCACGTACTCGAGTCTTGCTTCGATCATCAACAACAGCGTCGAGGATGGATGGAAATGGAAGGAACGACGGAGAAGGGCCGGATGTAAAGACGAGACAGGGGCAAGTGGAGTTGGCAGGGTGAGTGGAGGAGTAGAAGGGAGGAGTAGAAGGGAGGAGTAGAAGGGGGAAGCGTACAACAAGAAGCGGGCAGAAGCGGCCGCGGTATCAGCAAATGCAGAAAACAACCGGCCTTTGCGTCGTTCTCATCGCATGCCGCCATGTAGTGAACGGTATCACAGGACATGGCCTCCGGAGAGTCATCACAAAGAACGCGAAGAAATGACTAAACTGGGGACTCAGGGGAGATATAGCGAGCGAGGAGAAAAGTGAGAACAACACTAGCACGCACAAATGATGGTAAGAAGACTGGAGGACAAACAGCAGCAGGTGAACAAATGCTGTACTGAGCACGCGCCCAAACACAGGACCAAGTCGCAGAAGCCCAACAGAAAGGCTACCATGCAAGGTCGTTTGCTTCCAAGGTCTTTTGCTTCCGAAGTACCCTCGGCACGGTGTCAGCTGCTTCTGTCTCGTTGCTTCCAGGGTCGCTTGCTTCCAAGATCGTTTGCTTCCAAGGTTGTTTGCTTCCAGGCACGGCGGCAACTGATCCTGTCTCGGACCCTGGCCCTGAAAACAACGTCGGTGCCGTGATGAGCACAGGCTGTGCTGAAGACCATGTTGCACTGGAGCACAAGACTACAATCACACACGCGCCGCTGCTCCGATTCAAGCAGTGCTGTGTGGTCACGACTACA